TAAACTAATATGAAGTGTGATTTTAAAAAGCGTAAACTTTTTAGACTGCACACATCTGTATAATTGTTGTTCTTTAAATTAATCTCCTTGGGAAAATATACACTTTGCTCAACAGTGCACAAAACAGTTGCATTTTAGAGCTGCCTTCAGGGATACTTTATAAAGAAAAAAATACACACATGCACTCACACACGCACACATGCACACATGCACACACGCATGCTATGTCTGTATTGACCACAGGCATGAAAGAATATTCTCCCCGGGTTGCTGTGGATGGATAACTGGGGACAAGGAGTAGGTATGAATCATGAGGGGTTATAGAGAAAAATGTAACATTTATGTTAGAAAATTATGTCAAGAATACAATAGATACTACTCAAAGGGTCAAATTCTCTTTCAAAAAGTGATGAAAGCTCTCCATTTGCTCCACGCCAGCATTTGAGCTTAATTATATTCATGCCTTGCTTGTCAGACATAATATTTACCTGTTTTACTAAGGGCAACGCAGGACATCTGCTCGGCCTCCCCTCTACTGGTCTTGTCTAAGATATATTTTTATTATGATAAAATAGCACTCACGTCAAAATGCCTAAGTACCATAGTCATAAATATATAATAAATACTTATATCCAGAGTGAACCTTGACATATATAAGATATCATCTCATGATTAATGTGGGTTTTTTAAAAACTGTTGGCTGATATTCAGTCATAGGAATGCATAAGATATTTATCACATAGCATTTTACAAAGAAAGAAAGAAAGTGGGGGTGTGCGGTGGGGGGAGAGAAGAGGAGGGAGGGGCAAAGATATAAAAAGGACAAAATAACCCTGAGGGAAACTAAACAAGTCTCACGTTTAATTTCCTCAAAGAAAACAATTTCCTTCCTCATGCCCCTGTCTTTATACTTAACACAATAATGCTCTTTCCCGGAATATTTCAGTCCCCCTGCTCCCCATTCGGTAAGCTCCATGAGGATACTGAATGTTGTTTTCTTAGTGCCTAAAATAGTGTCCAGTATCAATTAAGATTCAGTAATGGTAATGATTTGCTCAACAGATACATACACAGATTGGTATTTCATTTAGATGAGTACTGAATGAATAAATAATTTTCTTAAAATTTCTTCTCTTCATGGAATGAATATGAGCAACATAAGTATTAGAAAAGTTTTTAAAATTCTAGTTAAAATAGAACCAACTAGGCATCCATCAATGCTATTCTATTAATACCACAACTGAGAAATAATTCAAAGAATAATGTCTGGGAAGAGAGCAGAGAGCTGTCAAATTATCTCACAACAAAAATGGCTGAAGATACTTTGGAAATTTTCTGTATATTACTCAGGAAGTAATGTGACTAGAGATTTGCCCTTCTATTAATTAGGCAGTGGTCAGAACACTACTTCAAAAATCATAAAAATGTCCAACTAACTGCGGTATTTTGTTTTCATCAACCATAGTTTTACTTTGCCAGAAATCTGTGGCAATAGTTAAACTTGAAAATGGCTCAGAAGAAAACTACCACTACCCTCCTATTTTTTTGTTTGCTATTTTTATTTATTAGGAAAATTCTATTTTAGAAACCATTTTGCTCTTTCAGTAAAAAAAAACCAAAAGATACTGGCAAAAGCAACAGTCTCCTTTTGATGCTAGTATTAAAAACTCTTGTTTTTTGAAAAAGGCTCATAGGTCATCATTGCATGAATGTACCATATATTAGCAATATAAATTGTTTAAATGCATTTCTGAATTTTTTAAATGTCTCAAAAAAAAAAAAAACCAAAAGAACAAATGTTGTAAGCCACGATTTTCTTACGGTTAAGCTTCTCAAAATGCTTTCAGTGAAAATAAAATATACAAACTGATAAGCAGAGATAAATCCTTCTGTTTTCCAGTTTTCTAGCTTGCCCCATTATCTACTGGTAGATACAGCAATACAAATACTATATAAACCCATTCCAGGGATACTTCTGCTAAGCTATTAAGCACCTACAACATAATTATATGAGGCTTAAAATCTTATGATACACAAAATTTCCCACGTAAAGTCATTAAAGTATCAGGCAACAGGTAGGTAAATTGCTCAGTATGACTGATAACAAGCATGAATGACTACTTTCATAAATGCATTCAAATAATAGCAAGATATGAGAAAGTCTTTAAAATGTAATGTCAATCACTGTATAACCTGTGTTCTGAAAAGGATAGGTTTGCTTCCAATCTTCTAAAGATTATCAGCAATTCAAATAAATCATTAAAAATTTCATACCAGGAAGGCCAATCATATTTAATATGATGTAAATTTAGAGATAAACCTACTTTTTTTGTTCCCTACTCCATTTTTGCTCCCCTAAATTTCTCAAAAAATGAACCATTAAGAAATGTCAAGGAAAACATATTTTAAAATATGTCATTTGCACACCTATGTCTTCGTGCGTGCCTGTATTTCCTGCTATGATAAATAACTCGAAAGTAAGGACCATGTTTTTATGGAGCCAACTATTTGGCTCCAGTTTGAATGGATTCAATAAAAGTTCATCCATGATAATAGGGAAAAATGACAAATTAAAGTTTCTCTGGTTAATTCTCATTAATGGTTATTTTAAATGATTATAGTACATGTAAATATATTATCATACAGAAACTTGCTGTCTTTTGGCATCTAAGTTATGGCCCTCACCTAATGTGAAATACACATTTTCATTACTCATGGGGAAAGGTGAACAGCAGCAATTCATTTATTAAAGGTTCTATTGTGAATACCTTAAAATAGGACGGACTTCAATATTTATCTAATAAGATCCTTCTCTATTCCCTAAGACAATTGAGGGCAGGTGAAATATTTTCAATGTCTGGAGAATACCCAGTGTACATATGCCATCTTGATTAAACATATGGAATATATACTTGGAGAAAAGCCAACTGGAGACCTGCTTGAGTAATCTAAACACCCAAGTTGAGAGAGGTTAATACATAAAGATCAGCCTTGCACTTTGAAGTTTTCTGGGCTTCATTTTGCCTAATTAAGACAAGATTTAATAATCAAACCACTGTACAAACATGTACCTAAAAGTATAAGTTTGTTTCTAATTTTGGGAAGAATTCTTAACAGATTCCAAGGAATCAGCTCCACATGGGAGAAGGTCTCTGATAAGATTTGCTTTTCTCATTGCTAAAATGCAAATGCCTGCTTTCCATCTTAGTTTCTTCCACATGACTGAGGTTAGCATCTGCCTGTCAAAGTCTCGAGTGTGATACTAAAATACAAAGATTCTGCTATTAGCATACCACCTGAGTCTGAAGCAGTGGCAACTTGAGGTCATAAAAATGGGTTCCAAAATATTCTTAAAGTATTCATAGAAATCATCTGCAGATGATGATTTCAAAGGGATCAATTTACTTATAATAGAATATACACATCCATATATTTCTAGGAAACAGAACTGAGTAGCAGAAAGTATACCTACAATCCAATACTATTTTTATAAATGAACCTAATTCCAAATCAAAATATTATGAGGTGAAAAGTAGAATTCCCAGTCATTCCTTTCACGCTGGACAATGTTCTAAGAATATCTGGTAGCTTTAAGCAGTGTTGAGATACCACAAAACAAACAAACCAACCTAACTCTACCATACCATAGCAAATAAATGCAGAGCGTCATTCAGGTCAAGGAGCAATATGTCATCATACAAGAAGAAAGGTGGGTGTTCTCTGGAAAGACTGCCTTCACACAAAATAATTCGATAAATTTAGAGAAATGCTGTAGCAATAAAATTCATCTGATATAGAGTCTGAAAACCAGTGAAATACGGTCTGCAGTATAGCAAACGATGACAGGAGAGGCAGTTGGCACTGCCGACCACCCCTTCTCATCCCCCCGTATCATCTTAGAAAGTTGCAAAGAGTTGGGCTAGAGAATTCCTGTTCAGTACTGCGGTCTTTGGCCCATGCTCCCTTCATGGCTCTGCCGTGTTAAGATGGAGGCCAAAGAGAGAAAATCTCTAACCCCACCTGCAATAAGGTGAGCACGTGATAAAGACCCCTTCTTTTGCTATTGTAAAGATGTTTAGACCATTGCCAATGAGGTTTTGTTCATATCAGTCAATAAGGCATTTAAATACTAAGCAAATTTTTAGCTATCCATTTATCAGTAAATGGGACATTGTTGCTCAATATAATGCCTCTAGAAGACATCTGTAGGTGATACAACAAAAGAGAATGGATAGAATTTTGAAATTCAGGACCTTAACATTTTCCAGGAATGAGAGGATTCTGCTTTGTAAGCCTCCCATAGCAGAAAGTAGTGGCAAAACTGTCCAGACCAGTTTTGCTTACAAATTGATTAAAAATGCTTTACTGGCCTGTCTGACACCATTATATGGCAATGACTGTTTCTTTGTGGTTGCCTCAGCAGGAGAGCTCCCAAGGATGTGGTGTGATACAGGCATTCGCTGTCCATTTCAGCCACAATAAGGCTGCCAGAAAGAAACTACCACCAGTTTCTGAGAAACTGCTTCAAACACTGTTTGGAATGAAGTAGGGCATATGAAAAATAAATATAACGTGAATACATACAAGTTGCTGAGAAATACCTAACCGGCTGACCCTGTCATATCTGCCAGCACCTGTGCAAACTTTTTGAAATGTCAATCCACCACATTCAACTCTGTCTCAAACCTTTATTGCAATAACAAAAAATGAGGCTCTGAACACATATGCCTGTATGTGCTTATATATTAAAATATGTACCCAATCATAGAAGGCTTTCTAATCTAGGGACTCAATTTTGCTACAAATGTCCTGTGCATGTAATGAGAGTGAAAACAGTGATAATGTGATGGTGTCCTTGAGCCGGGACAGCAAGCCAGGAGGGCAATCTCCTTTTGACTCTGATGCATACCAACATTCTCTCCTGCATGCCCACGTCAGTGACGAGAACCCTGGTTCCCATACCAGTGATTACGACACTGTGACTCGGCTTGGGGACTTACTTTGTTCATATGGATCTGCTGCTGGTATTGCTTCTGCTTCTCCAGGAATTGCTGGTGTTGCTGCTGAATGACCAGCTGCGCCAACGTGCTCTGAGGCAAAGGTGCAGACTGGGTTCGATTCAGGGGTCTGTGACGGGGTAATTTGTGGGTACCTCTAATGCCAGGTGAAATTCTCTCTTTTGTTGCCAACGGAGACTGAGGATGTAAGGGAACTCCACCTGAAAGAAAATATAAATATTATATGTATGTATGTTTGTATGTATGTTATACACACACACACACACACACACACACACACACAGCTTAAGAAAAGACAAGAAGGCACAGAAAATATACCTGGGATAAGTTCTATGACAAGTGCTATACTACTGGGCAAGCATCAGAAGGCTGGGTTGGGTGGGGTGAAGGACTAAGTCCCAAAGCATGGGTCAGACAAGTGTCTGACTAATGACTCACCAGTAGTCCACTCTAGTATGTAGGAAGGTTAAATAAGGTGAGTTGATTTTTTTTTCCCCTCACGGATCCAGAGAAATAAACAAGGATAACTGCCTTTCCCACAGTACTAGGTATCAGGGAGACCTTTGCATGACACTGTAAATCTTTACTAGGTCTTGAATTACAGAGACTCTACATTGGATTGCTTATAAAAGGAAAGCCCTAAAACCACTTGCAAATGGCACCATCATGACTTACCAGCCACAAGGAGCTTCTGCTGTCGCATTTGTTCCTTCAGTAATAAATGCTGCAGGAGAGCTTGGTGGCTGCTGTTGGGCTTTCCCTCCAAAGTGACATGAGGATGGCTGGAAGATGACGCGATGCTGCCCCCGTACTGCCCGGGCAGAGGGACGCCTGGCCTGAGTGTCTGCGTCTCACACTTCTGTTTTTCTTTGAGTGAATTTGAAGGCTGTGTTGAGAAATAATAAAGACGTTAATCCATTTTCATCCATAAAGGTCATTAGGTCTGTAAATCATTAGATTAGTTTCTTATTCCATAATTTGCCCCCCACTGAAAAAAAAAAAAGAAAAAAAAAAAACACCTCATCTTACCCAACGGCTGACTAGGGAAAATGGGTAACAGCATGTCTTTTGAACTAAGTGAATTAACAAAGGAGAAACAAAAATAGACCTGAAGCACTGGAGACACGTTAGTACTGGGTATCACTATACTGCACCCCAAATGAAACTTTTTTTAATCTTAAAAATGATGCGCTTTCAGGCTTAATAACTGGGAAGTTTATTTCTAAAATATTTTAATATACTTCTCAAGTAAAAGGTATATTGGAAAAGTAAAATTTATTCCAATTGCTAAACTAATGACCACACAATAGGGATTAAGAAACTGGAGATAAAATGGTCTGTAATTTTAGAGTTTCAAGTAGAAGGAACAATTCACCCTTTCTCTCTATGTTGTCTAATATGTTCACAGAGCTGTGGGTTTTCAGTATTTAATTTTTAAAATAAAATTCTTCAGATAACTCAATGAAAGATCATAGAAAATATGCAGGGTTTGATTTAAACGTGTATTTTATATTAATTCATAACAGATCCCCAAATCTCTAAATATTAAAAATGACACTCCAGATACTTTTGTTTAATAAAATAAACTACAAGTGAAATTAGATATCAAATAAAAAGGCTATTAAGAACTTGAAATATATGATAACACAGTAATAAGGCAATAATAATTATATCAATAGTAATACTGAATGCTCCTATTCAAAGAATTTAATGAATGGTGGTCATTTTAGTATTACAAAAGCAGAAGTCTACTACCTCAAAATTATGTGGCATGTTTCTTTTCAAAACTCATGTTTCATCTTCCAAAATTGCTGTGCACTAGGGAAGCAAAGCAATTTTCAGTGATGGAGAAATTGAAGGACAAAGAGGTAAATGGTTTGTCTTAGTCACACAGCAAGTCAATGTAATGTTTAATCTAGAAGTGATTCCTTCTCCTGGCTTCTTTTCTTAAAATTTCCCACTACTCAGTGGGGAAATAGAATATTAGAGATTGCTTTGCCAAAGCAATGCTCAGCTTGAAAAATTAATTATGATGGCCTCATCCACACCAAAATGGAAGCAAAGAAAAATGAAACTTCAATCCAAACCACATTGGTTTATTCATCCAATGGTACCAAATTGTATTACCATTGAAACATTAAATGGTCTGGCTTTTAGTACTTGGTCCTTTGGGAAAAAAATTCTCCCTGACCACATTAAAAGTGGTGTATGTTTGTGTTAGCTGGTAGGAGTGACTTAAAACATGCAAAAAAGAGTGGAAAGAAAATGTCTATTCACATGTCATAAGTTTTGGTGTTAGTATTTGCTTATCATCAGAAGAGACAGGAAAAAAATAGGAATATAAGAAAATTTTTAATAAGTGAAGGTTCGAAAAATATCATCCATAAATATTTATGTTTTGTTTCATCCCTAAATCCTTTTTTCTTTTCACTAGAATCAATTGTTTACAAATGCTTCATGTGGAATTTCAAGGGCATAGCTGAATTTGGTGTTTTTTTAGCCTTTCTTCTTCAATCCCCAAATATAAAACAACGTCCAAGTTCTGCTTTCTCCTCACTGGTATAAGATTACTGTATCACATAATATAACATTCCACTCTATTAAAAATACCAAACATATCACAATCATAAAATTTATCATTGAAAAATGTCAGTATAGGTGTGCTTGTGCATAAATTAGCATACCATATACAGGTCTTATATTCTCAGAATAAATTAGTCACTGAATGGTCAACTCTTTATAATTTCCTGATGTGGGCATAAAAGATGTGACTTTGACAAGCTGGACTCAGTAGAATACTTGTATCTAAAAACTGGCAAAATTGGTGCCAAGGGTTGAAATAAATTTCTCTTTAAACCAAATGTATCATATGACCTCTGCATAAGTACAATTTAATTTACTAACCTTTCACGGATGAATTATTCTAAGTAAAGTTTACAAATCTCTTATAAGGACTTAAATTTACATTATTTTAGGGAATAGGTACAAAATAATTATTGCCGTCTTCAGCTAGTAGGACAATTACCTCCAAAAGATCCTATTTCAGTTGGCAGGACTTTTAAAGTAATTGATTCATTTTGAATCTCCAGGGAGGAGTTTAATATTGTTCTTAGAGAGGTTTTCCAGATACGTATTCTTCAGTACCACAGAGTCAGTAACCTAAATTCTCAAAATAAAGTCATTCACAAAATAAATCCTTTAAACATTTGCTGCTGTGCTTTAGCAGCTGCACCACTCAGCACTGGCCTGAGCTGAGTCCCAGGTCTGCTTCTTTCGGGGTCTGTTATCTTGGGCTTTTAAGCATTCCAACTCTCAGCTGCTGCTTCTGTAATTTTTGTGGCCTGTAATCTCTGTTTCACGGGATAGTTGTATGGAGCTACCAAAATACTATATCTGGGGAGTGCTTTCTCTTTTTTAAAGTTATAAAGCATTATACAAATGTTCGTTACTAATTTTATGTATTAGGTGACCCAGTATAATTCTTTAATGTGATATTAAATTGAACATCTTTGAACAACTCAGCAAACAGTGAAGGAGAAGTAGACTCTACCAAGTTTCTCTCAAGTCTAAGTATACAACAAATGAATGAGAGTTCCCCTATGGAAAACATCCTTTAGGCTGCTTTGGGCTGTTGCAGTGGAATAACTTACATTGAGCTGGGCTGGCACTGCTGGAAGTCCCAAGGTAATGTTGGGCAAAGAGGGAGAGGTATAAAGACTTAGCAGGTTCATGGAATCTTCGTGAATTAGAATGCGTTGTTGGGAAACCATTTTCTGCTAAAAAAAAAAAAAGTAAAAGAGGAGTCTCAAACTATTACAATATCACAATTTTTACTGTAATATCTATATTTCAGAAAATAGGTTTATATTACTGTAATCTGTTAAAACATTTAAGAATTTTAATTAAAAATTTATAAGCATTTTATGACTTCTATATCTAAAAGTTATATGTAGCAATTTAAAATTAAAATTTTCTTTATCAGATACAGTTATAATATCTGAAGAAAGAGCTTCTATGCTCATTTTGCAAAATTCATTTTTAAAATTCTATTTTTATGGAATATAATCAGTGTGTTTGTCATTAATTAGTAAAGTACAATAGTAAACTGGGTAATTCTTATGAGGATACATAGTTTTTTGCATTACTGAGTAATGAATATGTACATAATGTGCTATAGTCATTCTCTTCATATGGATTAAACATCATTTTGCTGATGGGAAAACTCACACAAGAAAATTTTAGATTAAATATCACCATATAGGACTTCAACAATAATTAATCCTGTCTTTTTTTTTTAACATACGATTTATTTATAGACATCTCTGTGTGGTGTTTTTTAGATCATTTGTATTCAGAAACCAAAGTAAATGTTAAAATGTTCTGAGTTCCCTGTGCCACAATAGCCTTCATTTACACTGAAATACCTTGAACATTTTGGCATTACAGTCCTTTTTACAACAAATACTTTTTTTTAAACCAATACTAAGAGTCATGTTTTCCCACATGTGGCCTAATATGGTTGCTTGAATTACATTTTCTGTTTAACTCTTGCTTCCCTCCCAGAACTCTTATACAATAAGAGTTACAAAGGTCTTATTAGACTAAGGAACTCTGGCCTGATATGGTCCCCAAGGGAACAACATCCCTGAAAAAGAATACTCCATGTAACAGTATGACACAGTGACTGCTTTCTTCCCAAACAAAAAGCATATGGGACTCCAATAATAGACCACCTCCAAGAGGGATATTGCACACACGGGCTTTGACTAAAGTAAATATAATAACTTGTCAAGTATGTTTGGGGGAGCTGTAGATTTTCCCCTGGACAAACCTGGGATATCAATTAACTGGGGAAAATATCATGTGCTAATACAATGCGACCTCAGAATGTCACTGAAGAGTGATGCGCCACCAAAACACAGGATGTTATTCCAAAACATCACCTCAGTCATACGTTTGTTTGGAGATGAGTCGTAGCCTTAACATAATAAGAGCAGAAGGCTAAAGGTGGACTTTTCTCACTGCAACTTGGAATTCCAAACTAACTCAGAGTTTGTTTTTTCTCAAAAGAAAAAGTCAGACAGTTGTGCTTGAAAAGCAAGAAGTACGTGGAAACTTTCAACATTACATTGAGTTTATCTGCAACCCTTTACCAAATAATTCAAGTTGTCTAAAACCCATGAAGATTTTTGAAAAAGAGTTTATCATCACCATGTGTAAGATTGCAATTTTACTTTAGGAGCTATCAACAACAGTTGCATACTTGCCCTAATTAAAAAAGACAAGCTATTTTACTTACAGTAATATGCTTTTATTATAAATTCTAAGTGTAGAATATATACCTGAACGAGAACAAAAAGAATGTATGAGTAAGTAAAAATATTTTAACTAGCTGACTGGCAGCAAGCAGTAATTTATAATCGAAGGGTATTCTATGTGTTTATCTGTATTCATGGAACAGAAATGAACGTGGAAAAATAAGCACTTTAAATTATGCACAATATGCATCCAAGGTTATATCTGCTTCTCACAGCACTGAGTCTTGACGTGCACTGGGGGAATGACACCAAAAGTCACCACAACCTCACAAAATAGATCATCTTTGTTTTCCAGACAGAACTAGTGCAATATCCTCCTACCTCATCATAGGAAGCAAACTTATCTCAAAGCGGGGAAAATGTTTCTTCTCAGGTGTGATCCTAGCAGCACAAACTTGCTGCTCACATGGGCTCTGACTGAAGTGAAGGGATGCGGGAACACTCTTACTATTGGATTTTCCCCTGTAGTTTCCTCTGAGCACTGAGTGGCTGCATTTCAGCACCTACCACGTGCCAAGCCCCATGCTGGAGAGGTTTTAGAGGTGTACCTTTCTCCACAGGCGCCCTCCAGCAACCACTGTGCTCATCCTGGGTGAAGAAACTGCACGACTTCCCCCATTCTGGTTCCCTGTGGGACCAGCAACAGAACTTTGAAATCAGCCGAGGCTGTATGGTTTGTTGTCAGGTACTGCTGCAGAAGCTACACACCACTCTGCAGCCACGGCTGAAGGACGAGGCGACCATAAAAAAGCATGGAGAAGGGGAAGCTCGAGAGAAGAAGAGGAAGCAAAGTCAGGCCCTGAGACTTATGGAAAAGAATAAAAGTGTACAGCCCAGAGCCAGCAGGCCTGGCACAAGAAAAAAGCAAATGCCCCAGTGATTCTATAGACATGAGGATCTTCAAGTCATGGAGATAATTTCTGAGGAAGGAAGGAAAGAGTGGAGTCCCCCAAGCTCACTAGGTATAGCTGGTTCTTCCCACAGAGACTGACTGATACATCTCATACCACAGAATGTCAGAGTCTTGGACGTTACTTAGTTTATTTCCTTCAATTTACAGATAAGGAAACAAGCACAGCATTGACATAAATTCCAATGGAGAAAATTGCCAGTGACTCAACAGACCTGAAAAAATGTTTTCCTCCAGTTATCTTCTTTAAGTATAACTTTCATCATACAATATTGTTCTTTTAATTTGACTTTTTGATAAGAGCAGTCTATCTGTTCCAGATTGATGCTTCTTAATAAGAAAGTGGAGCTGTATTGTACACTGCTAAGAGTGCAGACACACATGAAAGCCGGGTGAACAGTCGTGAGAGGGACCATTTCACTGAGACAATGCAGGATCGTGGCCAGTATTTTTCCAGGAAGTAGTTTTGAAATGGATCCAGCCCTTAAATCACTGCTGTGCTAAGATGCCAACATTTCACATCTTAGAACATGGAGAAGATGGTTCTAATCTAAAAGGTTTTCAGAACCAGAAACTACTGCTACGGTTAGATAAAACGGAAGTATGAAATGTACAAATGGCTATCACTTAGCATTCATGAAACAATTATATGAATAACAATTAAATTAGATTAGCGAGGCGGTATTGAGGTGCACAAAGATGCCCTATACCACAGAAGTTCACATGCTACTCAGGTGTACAGAAAAGCAGAGAACTAATGCTAATGACCTCGAATAATTACTATAATCAGAATAGGGTTAAAACACTTCAATGGCATAGAACAGGTTGTCAATTTTAAACTAGGCTTTGATGAGTAACTAGCATTTTCACCAGAAAAAGCACGATGTTGGGAAAAGAATATGACTGAGACGAGTGCTGGGGTAGGGGAGGCCTACCTATTTTTTAATCATGACCTTCAAGTTTTAATTAGTTTTCTTACCATCATGGCAATTGGAACTCTATCTTGTGGACACTATTTGAAATTAAGATGAATAAAATACACAAACTAAAAAATTATATGTCTCTCAACAGAGCTATTTATTTAGCCACTGAAATGGAGACATTAATTTCAATCAAAAAATTCAAAATCTCTTAACAAAATGGATACTGGCAAAAATGAGAACAAAAGACAATGTTAAATGTTATAGGAATTTAGAAAAGTAAAAATCATCACACATTATTGGTGGGACTATAGGCTACTACAGCAATTCTGGTGAACAATTCAGCACTATACATCCAGAGATTCTTCTGTGGGAATTGTATCTTCAAGAAATTTTCTCATTAAGCTCAAGGGTGATGAATGTGGATATATATGGAAGCGTTTTTTAGTGGTGGCTAAGAACTGGAGGCCACTGGGGTATCCAACTGGGGAATGGCCTGGAGAATGGGTAGGTAAAATGAAGCAGTGCCTGCCACGGATTACTGTGGGGATTAAAAGCATACTATTAGGTATATGCATCCATTACGGCATGACTAGTTCTAAAAACAATGCTTACTGATAAAAGTAAGAATAGAATGAGATTGATAACGTCACACCACTTATTACACCTATTAAAATTCATGAGCACAAAGCAAAAAATCTGTATGTGATGTTAAGAACCTATGCAAAGAAAACTACAGGAGAAAATGACTGCCTGTGGAGGGAAGGAAAAGGGAAGTGGGGACAAGAGATACCAAGGAAGGAAGAAAGGGAGGGAGGGAGCAGAATACCTTTCTTAATCTTAAGAAGACAAAGAAGTCAAGTCAGGTGACCCTTGACAGAATACTAATATGGAATCACTCACTTTTTAAGACACTCATAGAAAAAGAGAATTTAGAATATTCAAGTTACTGCATGTTCAAAACTACCTACAATATGCATGAGCATCAGAAAAAGAATGTGAGTATCCACAAGGCTTTGGTGAGCAGCAGTCTGGACTGGTGTAAAGGAGGGTGGTCCAAGCATCCTGCATTGAGCTCTACCACTACTCACAGCCCTGTGATTCTGGGCAGATGCCTCCCTTCCCTGGACGTCAGATCCTTCAGCCTAAGACTGGCGCACCTCTGACTAGATCTAGTAGGTAATACCTGCTCCATTATTAGGGTGGCATCTGAGCCTCAATCTACTTTGGCTTTAAAAGGTTCCAAATCCCCAAATCTAGGCTATTCAAATAAAAAGATGAACCATGTTAAAATCAAACAAACAAACAACCTCCCCCATCATTTAATGTTTGCCAATGGCTTTCTTAGTATTTTTCAAGTTAGTATTTATTTTCTACTCTTCTTTCAGACAGCTGATGGAAAATTAAAATCTCCATGTGCTGCGTAATTTTTGTAGGCAGTAAAAATCTCTAAGTTTTCATTTTTACTGGACACCAAAGAATGTATTACTATAAAATGGTCCGGAGACAAAAAAAAATTATTGTTTGAGGGGGCTTCCTTTGCATTTAGAAGTCACTGATGTTTTATTAAAGGTCTTGGTTTACAATATTGACTCATGTTATTCCTAGTAAAGGATTCTTTTGTCATAGCAACCTCCTTTCCCTTGGGGGTTGAGGGGAGGAATGTCTTATTTGCAGTCATCTAAAACCAGAGCTCTACACCCACTCAGAAAGGAGCATAACATTTACAGCAAATGTCACAACAACTATTATGAAACAATAGGCAGATGAGTCATGTGAGATCGGGGCAAAACAAGTGACATTTCAGATGATTTTAGAGTACTTAACCTTATTATTAGAATCCATTTTTAAAATCATTTGTATCTGCTGGAAAAAATTATTTTAAAAAAACAGCATAGCAGAGCCAGCCACTAATGTTCAACTAGGAATAAACCAGCTTCTTGGCAACTGTTAAAATAGCTATCAAATAAATCTGCCAAATCTAAAATAATGGTGTTGATATGCATGGAAACATATTTGAACCCACAGGCCCACAGTATTAACAATAAAGTAACTAGATAGGTAAAGACATCTCTGACTGGAGTTGGAAATAGAAACTCCTGAGGTTTCAGCTCCCCAACCAAGTTTACAAATGAGTAAAGCAAGTAGCTCCAGCAATCTGAGTTCAGGACTGAGCATATGTAAGAAATAGAAGAAATGGAACAGAAGTTGGTCAGAGCAGATGGAGACTCACTCTCATATGAGATTTGCTGGCTTAAAGACAAACATACTAATGAGTTTTCCCTACTAGAAGTCAGTATTGATAACAACAACAAAAAAATGAACTTCCTTCCCACTTCACAATTTACCACCTGCCTTCCGAACATTGATTCCCTACAACAAAGCTGTTGGGGTAGGTATTACTACCTTACTCTAGATAAGGAATCTGAGGTTCAGAGCAAGCTCAGAGACTTAACCAATGATGACAAAGCAGCTGGCTTTAGAGCCGTGTTTCTGGGGAGCCTTCTGAATGGAAGACCCATACATTGGAATTCACTGTGCTGTTTCCTCAGCCTGGACTTAAGAGCAAATTCTCCTCCTGTTCTATCTTAACCTTTATCTACACGATGCAGAACACATGAATTATATGAGAGAAAATTTTCTTTCTGCCTAAGCCTTAAGATCCACCTTACTTTCCTATTTCCTAAGCAGAAAAGGGAGTAGAATCCCATTCATTTACACAGGATCTGAAAGAATTAGGTGACATACTTTTCTACTTCCAGGTCACAGAATAGAGCTGGTTCAAATGCACACTGTTATACTATTATAAAAATGTCTATAAAAATCATACTAAACTTAAAATAATCATTAATCAAGAACTGGCTGAAAAAATTGTTTTTCCTCTTTTCTCTAGTTTAGGTGGAAGTATTTGGTGTTACAAAGCTAGGATATTAATTTGCTGACGGTTTCAGTCTGAATTCTGCTGTCTCCTCACCTCTCCAGGATGAATTATGCTGCAGACCTCTGTAAATGCAACGCAGCAAAAAACCACATGTTAGCCATCAGGGTGGAATTTTTTGTTCTGGGCCACGGAGGGGCTACCCATCAGTGCATAAAGGTCTGCCCACCTGGCCTTTTGGATCATAGTTCAGGCACACAATTAATTCATTATGAGGTAAGTCACAGCTTGCTTTTGAACTAGTCTTTCCAGCTTTGGAGGTGAATGTCCTGTCACTGACCTGAAGAAATACCTCTACTCTTTCAAACTCCATTAAATCACATTTCCTTCTGGTTTTTTTTTTTTTTTCCCTACTAGTAGGGGTGGAGGGAAAGGTTTGTAGAGACAGAATATGTTCAACAATTAGCTGAAAAGCTGGGGCATCTAAACAGATATTTTTCAGAAAAGGTTTTAGGAGTAAAACAGATTAAATAATATAAGCAAATTCCTTTAATTTACATTCTCCACTGTGTATATTTTGAAATTTAAAGACAAGGTCACACAATCTGGGATGTGCAATTATTTAACAGGTGTTTTAAAAAACCTGAAGTAAGGAGAAAAATCTCACTTTTTTCTATTTATTTCCAGTCTCATATATATATTTATTTCTTGGTTGTTTCTTTATGTTGTACTAGGTACTGTATGAATAAATTTGTATTTATAATGAAGGGATATATAAATGTATCTTCCTCTCTAACAACAAACCATGTCCCCATCCCCTTCCTACCTCCTGAGAGGTAAACACCGTGCTAAATTTTGTGTTCATCACTCCCTTGCATTTTTAAAATACACTTTTACTACATATGTTTTTCTGAACAAAATATTACACTGATGTTTCTGAACTTAAAAAAATACTATCAAGCTGTAAGTGATCTTCTGCACCTTTTTGCACTAACAATGCACTTCTAAGAATCATAAATGCTGTTGAATAAATGTAGTTTAGTGTGTTGTTTTCATTTTCCAAGGGTTCAGAATTCATCCAGAACCTATTTAGAACCCAAATCCTTTAGCGTTTCTGCTACTGAATCACATTCTTCAAACTGAGAGGAAATGGAAATGCAAAGGTTTTAGAAGTATTTGTGACCAAGTAGTTCTTTTTTTTGGAAATTGATTAAAAGTTTGCAAATAACTGACTGATACTGAAATATAATTGCACTAACAGAAATACAATACCTATAACCAATTGTTCAAGAATTCCACTTACATCTATGGCCACAGATACATGTGAAGTATTTACTCCATTTGGTATCATGTTTCAGAAAGAAAAATGAAAAAGAGAAAGAGGGACACCAGGATGGTAAGAAACAGGAAAGAGATGGAGGACTGGAGATAATGTAGAGGCTTGAATTGTTATTCTTCAAATAGCTGAAAGATGATCATAAGCATCTATCTATTCTGCTCATTTTCCTTGGAAAATTGAGGGAAAAATTTTAAAGCCTGAATGAATATATATTCCTCTAGAAAGGATTTACATTTGCTTTTCCAGATATCCAGGACACTCCAAATCTGGGGCACTTTACCAAATTAAGAGTTTGAAGTTACATAAATCTGGGCTACAACTTTACACAAGAACTAGTTTTTGATCACTTCTCTGGGAGAGTCTGGCCCTGCCCTGGTCTGCATCAGGACACCTCTGGAGAATGAGGGACTCACCAGTGTAGCACAGATACTGGTCTTTGGCATCCTGGCTTATTGTCTGGATGCTCTCCTATTAGATTAGCCTCTTTGGTCAGTACAGGGCTTTGCCTCCTCTCTCCTGAGTTACGTGAGGCCCTGAAATCCAAAACTCAAGACTCAAGTACACAAACGTCCTCAGAGCAAAAGTGATTTCACTGGCTTTAGTCCTTTCCTTTATTGGGATAAGCTCTGAATTTCTGTTTTCAATTATATTTTGGCCTGATAATTTTATAATTTATAAATAATCTGTTATAAGCATATGTGTATGAAATCATAAACACAGATTTTGGCATAATGTACAGAAGACATTTCTATCAGTCAAGCTAACTGTCCAAAATGAACTAGGTTGTCTCAGGAGACAGTGAAGTGAGTCCCCTTTAATTAAGAGTGTTCCAGTGGAAGTTCACAACCATCTAACAGGAAAGTTATACAGATGAGTCAAGAATCAGAGATTTATTTGATCAGTCCCTTTCAGCCCTGAAGTATCATAACTATAAAATACAAGGGAATAAGCATGTCAGTTATCCATGAGAAGCTACTGCACCAGCGTTCCTTGCACAGAGCAGTGCATGGTAAGGTGGTGTTATAATGACAGAAAATAAACCTTAAGAATGTCTATCAGTTGATGGTGACTTCAAAACAGTGGATCCCATAAGAGTGGCTGTTTCCAGACTGCTGCCTTTGCTTAGCCTCATGCAGAAACTACTTCGACAAATTCTTACTGACGCCCAAGTTTACTTTCCTCTATCCCTCTATCACTGGTTTCAATAAATCACACGCTGAGAAACAAATGTTAGTAAAGTTGACTGCACACAATCAGAAAAAAAAATCGTGTGTTATTTCAGACCAATTTCCTTTAATATTTCATTTTCCAAGGATAGAGTTCATGTCTTACTTATCTTTATAGCCCCACTGTCAGGCAAAATGACTGGCGTATAGTAGGTCCTCAACAAATGTTTGCTTAGTGGAGCTCTGTGTTCCTTGAATATGATACTCCAACTATTTTTCATTTCTCTTCAAGTCAAATATATAAAACCTGCCTTTCTGGGCTGTTCTTCTGAGAGGTCTGCATGAAGGTTTTTTACTTACTGATGGGTCTCCTTCCATTAGAATAACAAGAACCAAGAACCAAGCAAGACTTCTGAGTTGCACAACTGCTGGGCTGTGTATATTCAGTATCTCTAAGAGTGTTTTTTTTTTTTTTGAGGATTACGTTTCAGAATTTCCAAACCATGATCAAGTTTACTCAATTCCACACATTACAATCCATAAGAAAAATAACTAAGAACAGGTGTCTTTCAACTTCAATTCTGAAATACCACTTCGTTTCAGGGGGCTCATCAAGGACTTAATTTTTTTAAAGAATCAAGATAATAAGAGCCTTACCTCAGCATGAGGAGTAGGTGGCAAAACGGGAGTCTCATTTTCAGTAACATTTCCAGTTGGCCCGTTGTTTGGTGAACTGGGACCAGACCCAGGCGAACTGCTACTGACTGAGGATTCTGAAAAAACATTGTGAAATACAAATACACTCATGAAAAACATACAAACTGTAGTTACATTCTAAGTAATTAATATACAGCAGCAGACATTGGTTTGTTTCCCCTACATGAATGACAAGCCCCATCTTACTAAAAAACAAAACAAAACAAAACAAAACCCCCCCCCACAAAAACAAAAACAAAACCAAGAAACCGGGAAAATTTTTGGAACATTCCTGAATTTTCATACTAATTTTCTCCCTTTGCTTTCACTGCTAAAACTATAACATACTAGTCAATAATTTCTAGAGAAGTAGAGATTTCCAGTTGGAGAGGATTGTGGAAGCTTTTGATTAGGAAAGAAAATAAAGAAGGTATTCCTCTCTTACTTGCTCTTGAGCTACCATAAAAAATAACAGAAATAGAGAAAATGGGCTTGCATAGTTCATAAAAACATGCCTTCACCATAGGAGGCCTGGAGTCACTCCTGTTGTGTGTGGGAAAATTGCTTACAGGCTGTGTTATAAACTGCTCTTTATTTAACCTACTTAGGCTATACTCTGTTAAAGCACATCTCAGTCAAAGTTGCATGAACAAAATACAATATAAAGTTTGAATGGTCTTGTATAGCATCATCTAATCTTAACTCTACTCAACTTATTTTCTAGAAGATGGGAAGTTGCCTAAATTTAGTATGTTAAATTTTAAACACTAATACAACAAGAAACTCATTTTAGCAAGTTAGATAACAGCAATATAGATCATCCCTGTCATCTTCAGACGTAACATTCACACATCTTTCAACTTACAAATTAATGCACTTACTAAAATACCTAATTAACAAAGTATAAGCTTTTAGTTCCCAGAAATACAGCTAAGAGAGGTCATGTTACAAGACTTGGCAAATTCCCTCTTGAGCTCTAATCGATTCCTTATCACCTTCTGTAGGTCATTCACTTCAACATTTTTCTAGGGGCATCCTTATACCTTGTCTACTCAGTTCTGCACAAATGTTCCTGTCTCATGCTTCTCAAAGACTGACAAGTTCTGGTATGTTTTCCATCAGTGATTTTTCTTGCTCCCTCATGATTTTGTTATCCACACTCTCCTTTCCCATTTCAAAGTTAAAGTATTTCTCTTCCATTCCCCTCTTCAATGCTAGCACATTTACTCTCAACCATGACACCAACTGCTTTAGGACGTTGCTCCATCAAGTAATTTGAATCTCCAGGCCCTCCTTCTCCACTGGCTTGTCTCTCTAGTCTGAAAGCAAGCTAATAACTTGCTTTTACAATGTCTATTCGTTCCTTCAGAACCTAGCAATCTAGCTTGCTCACTGTGGACTGCAACTGTTCTCTCACACTCCCCCAAATTTGAAGGCTTTTGACAAAACAGTTCTCATTCTCCTCATCCTTTCCAATAAAATTCTCCACCTCCATGTCTGTTTTTCCATCTCTCTGGCTTCTCCTCCTTCAACCAATTCTTAAATAGTAGATAATCACCTAAATTTGTGGCTTTATCCCTTTTTTAGTTCTGTTGTCAAAATCACTCAAAATTATGACATCAACTATCATTTTTAAGCAGAATACTTCCATGAAAGTTGTATTTCTTGTCTTTACTTCTCATAAGTTATTGCTTGAATCCCTTTGGAAGGCTGGACATACTCCAACTGTTTACATGTGTGTCAAATTCAATGTATTTTAATATTAAATGTGACCTGCTTATCTCTGTTTATCACTACCCTCTGAGTCATTCTCACTCCCTTTCTAACTCCAAATCTAATCGGTTACTAGGTCATTTTGTTTTCTTCTTTACTTTATTTTTCATCTACTTCAGACTACAATCATTTCAGTTTAATCCCTCAGCCCTCCTTATTCTCTTATGAACTATAGCAAAAGTCTCCTAATATTTCTGAATTGCTACAGTAGTCTTCCCAAACTTTCCTTAAACTTTTGCCAGATGGATCACAGTGGGACAACTTTCACCATGTCCCTCTGCTCCAAAATGGAGCCTAACATTATTTCCTACTATTGCCCTTTCTGAACTCTGCACTTGGTCCAATTTAAGTCACCCACTCTCCGTATGTGCCACTTTCCCACTTCATGCCTTGCTGTCCTCTTTTTCCTCCACCTACTTCATTGCATGCCCAATCCCACCTCTAGGCTCAAAGTCTGGCTCACACACCATCTGTCCCCATGCACGGGAGCTCCCAATTTGCAGGCTACTGTAGTTTACCCTTCCTTTTTTGATATTTCTCTACTCAGAAATGCAGTACCAATGGAAAGAATGTGAGACTGGCGACAGAATTCTAATCCTGCCACCTACTTACTGTGGAATTTCATCAAGTTACTGGTTGATCCAGTAACATTCTTAAACACATCTTGCTTACCTCCTTTTGGTCTATGTATCTTGCTTATGTTTTGATTAATCTACTTTTTATTTTTGCCTCTTTCTTGTTTATTTTTTTTTAACAAAGAAAATGCACATTAAAAAAATCCTTCAGGAATTTTTTCCCCCTGGACTCCTAACTCTTGTCTTTCATCTGTGACTGCACACTGATCTCTCATTAATGTCCCATTTCCATATCCTAGCTTAAAAAAATAAAAACAAAAACTATTTTTTAAACATTCTGTCTTATCAATTTAAAATTATGTTCTTTATATTATTTTATGTAATATTCATACAGAAGTATTTCCTTATATAGAAATCACTATGATAAGCACTGGAATTCAAGACAATAAATCCTTTAACAGGATTCTACATCACACTGGGTAGGGTCTGAGAGGGGAGGTAACAACTGATTTTCTGGGAACCCAGAGAAAACCTCAGAGAAGAAATAATATTGCCACTGGGGCTTGAAGAAAAGTAGTTCATGAAGTGGGGGCAGTGAAGCGAGAGTGGAGGAGAAGACACTGCAGGCACAGGGATGAGCCAAGACTTAGAATTTTAAAATAATGTGGCTTTTCTGGGGAGAGGGGCAGAAAACTCTTGCATTTGAAAAAGAGGAAGGTGACAAGTGGTTCCCATGTCAACTATTGGGAGGAGAGACGTTTGGAAAAAGCAAACACTGGAACCTCTGAAACAGGGAAGGTAGAGAGACCTAAGAAAAGAAGAGCAAGAGCAGTTGAACTGGACGATGCTATGGTGCTCTCTGACTGGACAGCAAAAGTAATCGGTGTTAAGATCCAAATAAAGCTCACCCTAATTACATGAAACTTGGTGGAGAAAAGGGAAGGATACAGGTGAAGAAAGCTGTCTGTCCACCAGTTCAGATCCTCCAGAGACATTTATATTAATTGCAACATACCAGTTAAAAATATCTACCAAAGCATCCACAAGTCCCAGCTCACTGAGTAGAAATGTGTGTCTAATAAATGCACAAGTCTTTTTGAATGCACATTATTTCCTTAGATAGAAGGGGAGTTATTACCTCACAAAATTAGAAAGAGAAAATTACGATATTTCACAAATAAAGAATCCAGAGTAGAACTCTAGCAAATCATAACCCTTATTAATGAGAATTAATAATTGCTTGGGTAAGTATCGAGCTAAATTTCCACTGAAGAAAGAAAAAGTGACTGTGGGAAAAAAGTTATGATTAAGGAAAAAACATTAATAGGAAAATAGAAAAGAACATTAGAATAAAGAAATATGACCTTAGGTAATAAGATTCCAAATAAAGAAACAAAAAAGTAATGCATGTTTTTCTACTTTCTTCAAGTTTTTCTGTTATGAGAGAACCTACTCTCTCCAATTGGAAAAGTCAACTATATCTGGTTAGTCAATTAGTATGTTCATTGTTTTTTACATTCATTAAAACAGATTCCCTCCCCAGCTCCCCACTCCCATCAAGGACCTCTATTATGAAAACTTACTTCATATTTTTACTTTCTGAAATACAAATAAGTTTCTTGAAAAGTCTGTAACTCTAAATTTAGAATTCAATTAGTCTTAATTAGTAATCATATTTGATATTGGAAAATAAACTCTAGTAAAATATTTATTTATTTGTGTATTTAATATTTCTTATCCCTCAAGAGAAAATTTTCCCACTAATATTTTCCCTCAGATAAACATATTACTCCATCAGGACTGAATAGGAGACTAAACATTTTTTCCCCTGAAGAGCCTGTCAAACTACCAAGTCTCATTAGTATTCTGTACTTTTTCACCTCTGCTTCCACAATCTTCTCCATACTGTCTCCCTAAACTAGACACTATTGTGATCAAAGAAGATAAAGAAAACAAATAATTTTTTAAAAACCTGCTAAGAATAAGATTTGAAGCTGGAGAAATAATACCAACTGACTACATTGGTGGAAGCAGAATTTTCCTCGGGAATGCGGAAAAATGGTTGTAGATTTCCATCTCTTTACTGATGCAACCAAAGGAAATGACCAGATACAATGCACAGCTCTAAGTAGGTACCCAATGAACAGTAGTCAGTGTTATTATTTTGGCTAGCTTTTTAGTTCTTGTATCCCCAGGTCTTCTCTAATTTCAGACCAGGTACAAATGGGACTAGAGGGCTTTGTAAGACATCAGGTTGAATTTCCTAACCTGTTCACCCTACCACTAACCAGGCAGCTAAAAAAATAAGAACTCTTCCATTTGAGACTAGTGAAAATGACAGTTTCTTTCCCTTCATAAAAGGCAATATATCCCCCTTCTGCCATAAGTCCCAGTTCACTAGTAAACACATAAAGTCATTTATGAGTTCTGTAAATTTGTTGAAAAGTCAAGGTTTTGCTGCTCCACGTGGTTTAATTTTCCCAGATGTATTTTGTACATTCATGTCTGAGTATGGGGGAAATGTTCTTTTTGGACCTCCCTCTGCTCATTTCTGATCAAATTTCATTAAAAGTTATATTCTCCTGGTTGGCATTCCCAAAATGGACTGCCTGTTTCTGAAAAGATGAAGGTGAGCTTTGGCATTCCCTAGTTCTGCCCGGGTTGACACACAGTCCTGTTTTTCACTCATTTCCTGTTTAACACAGTTGGTAAATGCATGGCAAGGTTGACCAAACTACTTGTGAGTTTCCAATATAATTCCCTTTCAAGAACTGTTTCTCCTTAAAGTAGCTTTTAATACACAACAGGTATATTTATTCTAAACTAATTTTTTTCATTCCTACCAGCAGCAGTTTTTAGTGTGTGTCTGCCCACTCCTCAATTACCTGTCACCTCAAACATTCGCTTCTTGAATGAAGTGACAACATTTCCATCCTTCCGCCTGAGTAAGGGGCTGCTTCTCCTCTCTGCCACTTTCTGTTTTAACCTGGACCGCACCTTCAAGTTGGGCTCAGAGGCTGGGGATTGAGACAAAGAAAATAGGTAAAAATTAAAAAATGGAGAGCCAGCTGCTTCTGTGTGTAAAAAAGGGCTCACACTTTTCTTGGTCCCTTCTCTTCTCAAATTAAAAACCCAAGCATGTAAATAAGGCATTGACTATAAATTAATTAAACAGACAAAGGTCATAATTACTCTTATGAAATGTGTGAAGTGCTTTTCTACTTCTCTAAGTGTAAAGAGAAAAGGGAGCAGAAATATGTTTTCTCCCTATTTTATCTAGCAGAATTGGGATTGTTAATGGGAAGTTAAATGACTAAGTATGTTTGGGTCTGAGTAAGATTTATTATACTTCATCGTCAGTCCTTTTAATTCTCTCCAGGGTGAAACTCAATAACCACAAAAACAGTACCCTAATGTGATTTTAGAGACTCTTGCCTGACTTCTGGTAATAAGAAGATACCTCTGCAGCACATAATTTATGTCTAATTCTGACTCCTGAAATATTTCTTTGTCAGTAGTTTTTAACCTGAAATCCTGGGAAAATGCACTTGGTAAAATAACACAAAATCAAGTAGAATTGCTATGAATAAAACTTTCTATACAATGAGTGTACAATTAATTAGAAAGGAAGGGTGGCCAAGTCTTAGAATTAAAGTTCTGGGTTACGTTATATGCTACAAAAATATAAATGTACATTATTAATACCTATGTTACTATTTGGTTAAATTATCCTAAATAGTGATGCTCTAGAATTGGTCATTATTTATTAGTTTTTTAAGTGATTATACTTCAGAAGAATGGGAACACTGGATTGAGTCTGTCTTGGAAATTGATGACAGTGATGGTGGTGGTGGTGATGATGATGATGATGATGAGAAGGATGTTTCTGATGACAACTAACATTTAAATAGTGATTATTATGTTCCACTATTGTCCTAAACATTTTGTCAGTTTAAGTTTTTCGGCCAGAAAAAAATCCATGTGGAATAGATTCTATTTATACCTTGATTATATCATTGAGGAAACCAAAATAAGAGAGGGGGTAAGTAACTTGCCCAAAGTCACAAAGATAAAAAGGGTTGAAGCCAGGATCTGTACCTAGGTAACCTAGTTCAACTTTAACCTTCCTAATACTGAAAATACTGCTCCATCTCTTTTCTTTATGTAAGAACACCAAAACAATGATGAAATTGCTTTTCCAAAGCATTGCTAATTATCTACATTGGATACAATGTTACAGTGTGGCTAGAATTTTGGATCAGTTAAAATACTTTCTTGGTGGAAGGAATTTTATAATTCTTCCAGAATACAGAGGGTATCAAAAGTAGAATTTATAATCGTATATTTGTTTGTTTTTGACTTTAAATACCTATACTTTAGTTTCTTCTTTGCTTTCTTTTTCCCTTCTCTTTAGCTCTACCTTGGACTAAGAACCCTAGATTTTCTTGGAACTGGCCAGGTGAAATAAAACAAGTTAATTTTTTGTGTGTTGTATACCTGATTTTATGCCTGAATAAACTGAAAACATTTTTTTAAATGGGGGCCTGAAAATTTCATAGAAGTGGAAAATGGGTAGGAGGGGTGGGCAGAGAACAGGACTGAGTACAAGAAGCTCAGTGACTAGAGGCCTGAAATGTCTCACTTCCTGGGCCTTCCACCTTGAGGCAAAGAAGGGAAACCTCTGTGGGAAGGATTAAAGTTCTTGTCAGACTTTTCAAGAGTGTCAACCCATTTTATCTTAGTAGAGAGGTCTGATTCTGAATTACTAGCATCCAACTCACCCATGATTAAAGGGAAAAAATGGAACTGTATTAATTTACCTAGATTCCTCCCCCATATATGTTTATTTTAAAATGCCTTTAAGAACACCAATTTTTGTCTTTGAAAAGGTTTAGCCTAATAAATATATTCCATCTATAACCCAGATAGGAAAAAATGAGGAATCCCTATATGCTAAATATACTGCTATCTGCTGTCGCCTTGCTTATCATCCTAAGACAAAAATCACAGATTCTCAGACTTTGATCTAGACAAGACTTTATGATGAAGCCTAGTGGATTCAATGCTACAGACAGGCTCTCTGGAGGGAGTAAATCAACGGATTGATCCCTCACTTGGAAAGGTGGAATGCCACAGGCACTGTGCTTTCAGCAGGAATATGTGGAGTTGGGTCCACAAGGCACCACTTCCCAGCTATGAAATTTCCAGTGAGACTTCAGTGCTTTCTGAGCCTGACTCTTCATTTGTGAAACATGAAAATCTAACTCCTCCCTCATTTCACTGAATTGTGGCCACTGGACTAGATACCTGAGAATAACTATGAAGATCCAGGTATATGCAAAAGGGAAGACAAGGTTTACAGAATTTTTACTATTGCTACTACTGCTGGGGGGTACACAGCTAGGAATGACAGAGCCAGGACTGGGCCCCAAATCTCCTATTCTCAGTCCAGTCCTCCTCCTTCTCCTAACACATTGCACCAGCTGGGGCCGAGTTTCTGCAATCAAGACAAAAATGTGCCAACAGCTTGCAAAAACAGCATATGCCATTTAAACATTCTATATGAAACCTAAAATTCCATAAGCTTGTCAGAAAAAAAAGACTTTTCAGGTTGGCAGATAGCTTTCATTCCTACGCATGTCTATTTGAGAATGGGCTGCATATATAGCTCTTAAATTTCTTTCCACGGTCAACATAAAAATAGTGAACATCAGAATAGGAATGAGAACTGGGTTCTGGTTTTGCATCTATCAGCTACTATCAGTCAGCTCATTCATGCAAATCAGCTAGGAAAATGCCTTTGTAGTGCATGGAGTGAAATAGATGTGCTTTAAATGCCTGCTTCCCTCATTAGGGATTTGGATTTGGATTAATTATTTTGTATCTTTAAATCTCAGTTTCTCATGTTAAAGTGGAGATGGGGTCCCCCCGTTTTTGTTTTGTTTTTCTCCTTGTGCCCCAACAGATTCCATTTTCCTTTTTTCTCTGAACTCATGGGACTGAATCCTGGGGTTGAAGCTCTCTAGGCTTTTGTGGGTTGGATTTCATTTGGGCTCAAATTACATGTAGAACTGGCTAGTGACCAAAGAATGAAGGAGTTAGAGACCTGGGATTCTATGCTCTCTCTGGTACAGTGCTGCATCACCAGGTAGAACCTTTTCTCCCCCTGACTGCATCTCCCTGTAAAGGTCTCTGCTCCACATTTCAGTCTTCCCAGCACTCCAGGGCATTATTTCCTCTCCTTGCTTCTTCAGCCCTAGGGGTGGGAACGGCTTCTTGCTGTTGCTATTTTCTGGGTGCCTCAATGTCCATAAGCAGCTGTAAGTAGTCTCTTCCTAAACAGTATATGACCCATACTATGTAGGCTCTGTTTCTACCAAGACTCTGATTAATACAGTCCTACATATTTTGCAAAATTATGGTAGACTCAAATGAAATAATACCTAGTAGAAGATAAATCAGTGGGTTCTCAAACAGGAAAGATTCTGACACCGAGGGAACATTTGACAATGTCTGGAGATATTCTAATTGTCAACATGGGGAGTTGTTACTGGAATCTAGGGGGTAGAGGCCAGGGATGCTGCTAAACATCCTACAATGCACAGGACAGCTCCTCACAACAGAGAGTTATCTGGACCCAAATGTCAATATTGCCAACTGCGAAAAACTTTGTGGTAAGCAATCAGTAGATGGCAGTTGTTAATAACTGTACTACATTGGAATGATCAAAGGAGATAACAATATCTGTTGGAGAGATTATCAGAGGATGTAGGAGAGTAAGGGAAGAAAGGAAAGACAGAAATCAGGGACTGCTACAGATAACTTAAATATTAAATATTTCAACATTTTATACTTAAGAAATTTATTTTAAAATATTCAAATCAAAGCTAGTCAACTTCTATTGTTTACGAAGATATGCAGAAAAATTTTCAATTTGGGGTAGGATAATATCTGAGGCACTGTGATATTTTCATCTTTATCAATTGAGGACAAAGCTTTGTAAAACTAGGAATGAATGATATTCTATAAAGTGGAGCATGTGTTTATTTCCTCAAAAGAAAAAATATACAACTTTTCTAAGTAAAGGTCCAAATCCATTGGTTTTAGCAAAAACTTTCATTTGTATTTCAACTCTGATTTTGAGTCACCAGAGATATTAGTATCTCAGTGGTGAAGGCGAAGATTGGAATGATAGATAACCATCATTTAGTCCTTGCAATGCTTTGTAAATTCACTCCTAACATTTCAGAAACCCACACACCAAAGCTCAGCATGATATATACCCAAGCAGTAGAACTAATGATCTATTGTGCTGACTCAGTTTGCAGTTAAGAGTTAATTCCATTTTTAATGCTATGGTCTCCCCAAAGGCTGAAGACTTCCATTCCAGTTACTTAACTAATGGGATTAAAACCCTCAAGAGCCCAGAAAGAGATCACTAACTAGGGAGACATTCTGCTTGTATTTGAATGTATTTCATGCCTAGTTGCACTAATTGCCTTTCTATTTTTACCCCACACCCATCACTCTCTACATCTCAATTAATCGCAAAAACAGAAGGCAAGCTTCTAGTGATGTGTGTCCATCTGAATGCATTTGTCTGCTGAGATGAAAACATTGCCTGGAAAACTGTTTATCATTATTTAAATGAAAATAATACTAAAGAGGACAGAACTAAACTCTTTCTCTCTTTCCATTTAAAAAAATGAACAAAGGAAACAGAACACATGTGAAGAATGCCTCATGAGCTAAATGTATTTGAAATCTTTCTTCTCATGCTGATCTATAGTGCAGAATGAACTGAGGTGTCAGAGGGTGTGAAAATAAAAAATGGGAAAGAAATGTGTAAACTTATGTAGCAGAAGCTCAGGTTTAAAAATTAGGATTCCAAGGCATAGTAAGTGACAAGGCCCAGACTTGTCATTTCACTAAGAGATTGGTGTGTTGGAAGTGTACGTGAGTGTGTCATTTTTGCACATGTACACACATATAAACACAAAAACTATCTTTTCTAGAA